TCCGACGCAATTATCAGCGCCCTACAAGACCAATGCACTCCCGAGCTCGCCAATGCGTTGACGACCGCACAATCCCTTAGCACCGGCACCCCCGCATCAGCTCCCCCTACCTCCGCGTACTCTCTCCGTGAGCTTATCGCCCGCATTGCCTCCAGCCATGGCAAAGAGTCCGCCTCCAAGATGGCCGAAGACCTTGGCTCCTCCCTCTCCGAAGCCTTCCAGCAGATCTCCCTCGGTACCTGCAGCGCCGCGCAGACTGGAATCCTCCTCACCTCCCTCCACTACACCGGCCTCGATATGCAAGCTTCCATCATCGCCGCCGCCGCCCGCCAGCTTCGTAGCGCAGGCCACAAGATCCAGAACCTCCAGCAGCACCCCAGCAGTGGTCCTGGCCCTTATGCTGGCGGTCTCGTTGATATTGTTGGAACTGGAGGAGACGGCCACGATACATTCAACGTTTCCACCACTGCCGCAATTGTAGTCTCTGGTTGCGGTGTCCGTGTTTGTGAGTACTGTAACTCAACTTCCAGTATCATCCGTGGCTGACAACAGTAGGCAAGCACGGATCTAAAGCTTCCACCTCCGCCTCCGGTAGCGCCGATATCCTGATGTCTCTCGGTGCAAAGCTACTTTCCGTCACTTCCGATGTCGTCTCGAAGATGTACGCCGAAGACAACCACCCCGAGAGCAGCTTTTGTTTCTTGTATGCGCCTGTTTTCCATCCCGCTATGGCACAGATTGGACCTATCCGTAGAGAGTTAGGTTGCAGGACGATTTTCAATGTTCTTGGACCATTGATCAACCCTATAGATTACTCTATCGCCGAGGGATTAGAAGCGAGAATTCTCGGTGTTGGAAAGAAGGAGCTTGGTCCGGTGTATGCTGAGACCTTGAAGCTTTTGGGAGCTAGAAAGGTTATGGTTGTGTGTGGAGAGGAGCAGCTAGATGAGATTTCCCCAGCGGGATATACTGATGCATGGTGGATTGGGGACGAGCAAGATGGAGAGAGAAAGATTCATGCGTTCAAGATGCACCCGAAGGAGACCTTTGGACTTGACACGCACCCGCTTAGTGTGGTTGCTGGTGGAAAGAAGCCGGAGGAGAATGCTGTTATCTTGAAGGCTCTATTAGCTGGGAGGATGCCCAGAGGCGAGCCTATCACCGATTTCGTGTTGCTTAATGCTGCGGCACTATTGGTAGTATCAGATGCGGTGCACGATCGGGCAGAGGGTGAGGTTGATTGGGAGATTGGTTCTGACGGTATCGTTAGAGGTGCCATCTGGACGAAAGCGGTGGAAAGGGCTCTGGAGGGTATCAACAGCGGAGAGAGCTGGAGATGCTGGGAGCGTTTTGTGGAGACTTCACAACAAGCGGAGAAGGCACAGCAGTCTTAAAATGGCACACATTAGATCGATAGATCTCCTTCAGCTGTTTGATGTTGGAACAAATTCTTTTATTAACGGATAACTGATATCCCTTTTTTCTCCGTACCGTTTCCGGGATTCCCGGCGTTTAAAGCCATGTTTCTAGCACATGTAAAAAGAAAATTAGAAACACCAAACCCTATTTCTTAACCCTTCATATGCTCGTAAAACAGAGTTAGTATCCTGAAATTAGCTCCATTTAGTATGTCTGTGAAAAAGAAACTGTTTAGTAGATGGCCATTATTTTTATGGAAGATTGTTAGTTTTGAAAGCCTTAGTAACGACCGGACTGTGCTGAGTATCTACCGTTTCCAGGAGGGGGCGGCGGTGGTGCACCATGACCCGGAGGCGGTGGGGGAGGTGGGGGAGGAGGCGGAGGAGGAGGAAGAGGAGCTCCTGCCATAGGGGGGGGCGGCGGTGGTGGCATGAAGGATCCGTTCATTGGAGGCGGAGCTTGCATCTGCTGATAGAATCCACCCTGGCTAGGATAGCTGAGTCCTTGAGGAAACCCCGGGTGCATCATGTTGGACATCATCGGAGGAGGGCCAAAAGATGGGCCATTCTGAAATTGGGGCGCTCCGGGAGGTGCCATGAAGTTCGAGTTCGTAGGGGGTCCCCATGGTTGGTTGTGACTAGGATTGTTTCCTGCGTTGAAACCCTGGTGGCCGTGATTTTGACCCTGCGCACCGTGCCATGGCATGGACTGCCCAGTTTGGGCGTTGTTTGTGTAGTTGAATCCAGAACCGTTGTTTCCGGCAGGTCTGTGGTTGGACTCTTTCTGGTTCCAGGGAGCAACAGCACCACTTGAAGATCCTCGATCATCACGATTATTGAACCTGTCATGATGGCTGTGGCTATTCTGAGTGATCATCCTTCGAGGAGTACCTGAATCAATCGCGTGGCCGCTGTGCGACCCGCCAAGTTCTTGCATCAATGACTATCAACCGGTTAGCACTCTGTCATCAGGAAAGGTCATGAAAGGGTTAATTTACCTCGTACTCTGTATCAACGACGTCAGCTGGGCCTTTCTGACGCCAATCAGTTCCCTTTTGACGCTCAATACAGTCTCGTGCAAAATGACCGGCGTTTCCACAGACACGGCAAATGATATTGGACATGTAGCTCTTTTTTTCGGGGCAGTCGTACTTGCGGTGACCAATCTCGCCACCTAAATCTGATTAGCAGTGTTTAAGCCTTGAACTATTAGATCCACTTACAGTTTTGGCAGGCTTGGTTCTCATCGTCTAGATATTCATGTCAGTACTTCTTGGAATAAAATTGACTAGGAAACTTACCTCGAAGTGTACCGTTGAGAGTAGCGAGAAGTCTCAACTGGTGTCTCTTCAAGTCGTTGTCTTGTTCGGGTACAGATGCTGCCTGATACCTAGTTATTCAACTGCACAATTTTATGACATTTGGCGATCTTACCACTTCGATAACCTGATGAATCAACTTCTTCGCCATATTGATACTGTCCTCGTTCTCGGAGATGATCAGACAGTGAAGGTCTTCTTCAAGGTTCGAATCCATGGCTCTGTCGCTGCCACCTTTACCTTCCTTAACAGATCCTTTTCCACGGATGGCAATCTTGGCACCCGATTTGGATTCCATTTCTTTCAATGTATTTCCACGAGGTCCAATTAGTAGCCCAACTATTAGTCGAACAAATCAATCACAGGTTAGTAAAATCCAAACAATATTTCAAGTGTCTCGATAGAGGTTTGTGAGTGGGTTAGAAAGGGTTAGTATACTGAAGTTAATCTCTGGGTAGTCATTCACGGGAATGTAGACTTTCTCATGAGTCTTTGATGGGCGTCTGTAATCCGCAGGGATGGGGTAATTGGGAAAGATCTTTCCCGCTTTCTGAATTAGTTCGTGTCTCTCTCCTTCGAGCTTCTTGCGGTATCGGTGTTCTCTGGTATTGGTACGACGACCGTGGTGGTCATACTGCGGAGGAGGAGATGGTGACCTACACCGTTAAAACAAGGTCAACTTCAATAGTGATAGGCTTACCGAAGTCTCTCAGCCGGAACAATGTCGTTGATCTTGAGCTTCTGAGTAATCTCAAGGATACGAAGATGAACACAATACGCGTCAAGCTGTTCGTTTGTCATCTGGGAAGATATCATAGTAGGCAAGCCGACAAGGCCAGCAATGGAGTTAGTTTCTGCAGAAGCTCCCCAGCGGTTGCCTCGCTTTCGCTTTCTCGCGGAGTCATGGTCGGTAGCTTCACGTTTAACCTCGAGAGAACGACCACGAGGTTCCTCGTCTTTAGCCGAAACGTCAAAGAATTCTTCTTTGTCGACCCAGCTTCTCTTCACAGGAGTTGGTCCAGGAGTAAATGGTTCCTGCTTGACGAAGTCGGAAAACTCTTTCTTGATTTGCTTGGAAACTGGTGTAGCTGGCGGTGTAGGACGTAAATCGGCTTGTAAATCACGGTTGCCGAAACGACGACCAGGAGCCACTGGAACGTTGTTAGTTCCTGTGACTTCCTGACGACGCATGGTTGGCTGTGGTGATGTAGGTTAGTGGTGTAACAAGTGGATGGAGTAAGAGTGGAGGTGTCTGGAAGAAAAACGTTTATCAGTTGAAGGAGGGTTGAAACTTCGAGCTGTTGCACACCGAGCGGCTTGGCAGACCAGAGCTTGAGCTCAAGCTTCGCGCTGAGCTACATGACTATGCGCGCACGCGTAAAAGTTGCCTAAACAATGTGCAATCAACGTACTAAATAGAAAACATCAATGACTTTGATAGTTGCGGGCTGAAAACGACTAGATCTTACAAGAGCAAAAAGATTATACTTTCCTCCTAGCAAAACAAAAATAGTTAAAAGTAATTCCGTTACGGGGAATTGAACCCCGGTCTGGCCGGTTTGATACTCTACATGAGAGCGGCCGATGCTAGCCACTACACCATAACGGATCATATGCGATATGTTTACACAAATAAAAAAATATTTTTATGCACCGATATCAGAAATGCTTCCTGAAACTCTTCCGAAAGTCAAAAAGTAGGTATTATGTACCTAAGGCTCAGATTTGACCAATTTTTTTCCAGGATAGGACTCGATCTAGTCTAGGCGCTAGCCCTCTGCGTTACACAGGCGTTGCCTGACTCGATCGTCACCCCAGAATCATAGTCAACTACATTTGGGGGTCGTACTCAGTGCTGATTGGCTACAAATGCTCACCACTGATTTCCTGAATCCTAATCCATAAACGTCCTTTGTCCATAATCTAGATTTGTTGTCATCGGAATAAGTATAGAAAACCTTAGCCCGAGATATTATTTTATGCGTGTTAAGCATAGGGGCACCACAGTGACATAAATGGATATGCGGGGGAGGAAGAATTAGATTGGTGCATAATCGCGAGCCCACGATGTACTCGCAGGGTGCATTAAGTCGGGTGCACCCCGTACAATTCGCCCATAGCAATAGCACAACCATTTTATGAATCTACTCTAAATTCTAGTTACACCCACGATGTCACCACATCAAAACACGCTACCTATCAACACCATCGCTATTCATTCAAGTTATTCAAGCCGCTGCAGTCTTCGGGGAGGAAAAAAGAATGCTCACGAGCGGAATTGAACCGCTGATCTTCCCATTGCGCGAGAAATACGAGTGGGACGCCTTACCACTTGGCCACGCAAGCATTTACTGTACTCTAAGGTTTAAAACATTATAACACAAATTAAAACCATTGCATAGACTATCACGTAGGTTGGATCGGCTACAGGAATTAGATATCATAATACACACTCATGGAATCCAAAATTGAGGTGTTGTCGTTAAACGGTGTGAAACTGTGGAAGGGGGGGGGGGGGGTTAGAGAATTAAGGTATCAATCATATCTTAGAAAACATTTTTTGTTTCCTGTATCTAGTACTTCCCTTCCATATCGACTCAGCTACTACGCATACTTGTTCAGAAATAAACTCAGCTCAGCATTCAGGCAGAGCAGGATCATGTACGATGCCCTACTGAAGCGTCACTCCGGATATCTAGTAATTAGGCGGTTAATCGCATCGCGCTTCAGCTGGGCGAAGGATTAGCGCCGTTCACTAAAGTTGGAAACCCGCTGAGCAAGTTGCGCTTGTTATTGGTACGCAGAAGAAACTAGTGATTCTCAACACGACCGGTCATGGGATTCTATGGCAACCATACATACGACTGAGATGATAATTCGAATGCCATGAAGTTTAGCATAATGAAGCGAATGATTATTTCATCAGCAGCAGTTCCCAAGTCACGACGTTAACACATGTATTGACAGATGGAATAACCACATCTAGACGACTCGTATACCCTCTACAGATGAATGCACTCATGCTCGCCAAAGGTGTTGAACGTTCCTCCGATCGGCTCTAACGCCGGCCGCCAAACCCTATCTCCTCTCCGTGTAGATCCCGGTTTGCACTACTCACTAGCTACGGATTCTGCCGGGATTCATAGTGGGGTCCGTTGACGGGCTCCCCGGATGGTAAGCCCTCCTCCCTAAACAAGCGTCAAATCTTGCTTCGGAACGAATGCATGCCTGTTAGCGAAGTGTAGAGTTCGGCTCTCCTTTCTCTTAGTAAATTCTCGGTTCGTTTTTCGCAAGTGGAGAAATGGATAATAACAACTTGGATATGATCCTGGGGCCGGAGTTAATTTGGGGATTATTCTAGCGGAGAAGTCTCACTTCATTAAGAAGCAAAGATTCGTTAATAGAGTGCGTTCATCAAACACGGTCAATAATGCAATCAGCTGGCGCCCCATTCAATGCGGCTCGCAAACTATATATGTAGCTAGTCTCCGGTACAGGTACATTCCACGGGAAGTGGTAGACATTCATGAGATTCAAACTCTATGGATTTTCACTGGATCATGTTGTCTTTGAGCATACTTAGCATGCGGATGAAATCGTCAAATCAACAGCTGGTGCCTACACACGAAGTCGATAATTACAATTCGATATAAGCTTCTTATGAGGAAGTCAGATATCACTTGCGCGATGGTGACTAGCGGACGCCGCCCAGAATGTAGCTTCGTATTCGCAGGAGATGTGGGGCTTGCCGCTCATATGGACCGGCTCCGGTAAAAGCACGCGAGTTTCGGCGTCATCTGATCGCCATCTCAGGGGTTTTCAACACCATATTTTTCAGCATTTGAGTCTTCTGAAAACGCAATATCCCTTTTATGATTTCTGAAGAATCCAGACAGAGACGGAAATAGTTATAGTAAATCGTAATCCTCTCGGATCTCGAAGGGATCACTCGGAATGTTCCATGTAACGCACCTCTACACCGGGATCTTCCGCTTTTCGAGATAGACACATCCAATTTATCCACATGCAAGCACATGTGAATGTTCCAAACCTTCTATCACGCAATGGAATATCCAAAGAGTAATTCATCTTCGAGAAGCCTGTCTTAAAGGTGCATTCAGAACTCAAATCTGCAGAGTTTCCGAAGAATCTTACACACGTCCGACTTTCGACAGCACCGGGTAAATTCCTCCTACCTAGATAGGCAGATGATTTTACGTACGTTAGTTTCAGCTTTCTGGTGGCGTGCCTTTCCTCTGGGACCGCAGACCTGCCGGATAACAAGTTTGGCAGGTGCCCCCCTTTCTCCGAATTTCGAGCTTTGAATATGCGGTGCAGGTACGAGAGAATTCTTGTATCTTTTTGGGTTTCGGTTGCGCTTCAACGGCACTGAAGATCGAACATATGAGGTTTCATGCAAGACATGATCTTTTAGGGCTGAGGGCTTGAAGTCTCAGCGCAACGCAATCTCGTGTGGCGAGCGACGAGACAAAACACTTCGTGCTCCGGATTCTGGACGGGGCCCATGCATGCAAGGTATAGCGATAGCCCTACATATGCATCTATTGTCGTGATGGATTTACCTGGTTTGGACTAGTAATTCGGGCCCCCGGAGGGGGTGGCCATTCGTAGATGAAAGGGTGAAACGGCAGCTAGTAATAAATTGCGCCGGCAAAGTATGCGAATCTAGACAATCATCAGCACCGGAATATATATGATGGGTAGATATCCCCCGCTGTTTTCGCCAAAATGCTCGGTGGCCTGGAATACAAATAATAGTGGCGGACGCCGGCTCGACTCCACCCTAAGTATCGACAGCCCTGAATTCCACTAGAAAGTCATGATCGACGTCTTTGGTGAGACTGTATATACCCTTTTCCACCTTGACTCGAATTGTAATACTGATTTCTCAAAAAGGCAGGAATATGGATATTTCTATTCGCAGACTTCATTTTCCTTCTCTTCCGATTTCGACTGCGACGTCGACAAAACCAATCGCTCAAAGTATCGGACTTTCTAATATCGTCAGCTTTTATCTTCATCTTTACCGAATCGATAATAAACACGATTATGAACGAGAAAGAAATCCGATTTTACAATGAAGACCGCGACTTTCCAGCAGATCTCGACCCGGTTTCAACCCCCTTGATTGGATACCCATTACCAGCGAAGATGTACTATCTCAAGATTCTTTACATCCTCCTACATTTCAACACCATCGCCCTTTACACAGTGAAGGGAACACTCTTGGCGTTCTTCTACGAAGTCTTTCCCCAAAAGCTCCGGATAATACTACACGTCACCACTGCCACAGTTGTCTCAGCATTCCTCGCCAGCTTCTTCACGACAATGTTCTGGTGCTGGCCACACAACCGGATGTGGGCACCAGTAAACTGGGACCAGGATGCGCCCAACGGATTCTGTGTCATCAAACTGGACGAAGACTACAATAGTATAATTTTTGGAGCGCATGTAGCGAGTACCATCATTGTTGTCATTCTCCCTGCTCTATTGCTCACACGGATAAAATGGAAAAGGAGGGAAGTTATGTTTGCGCTTACGACATTATTCTTCGGCTCGATTAGTGTACTGGCTAGTACTTTATCCTTTGTCACGGTTCTGAGATTAGCGGAGCATCCAAACAACAAATTTGCCAGACACGCATCGGTTCTTTCGGCGGCGGCGGATCAAAATGCAATCTTTTGGGCGGCGTGTTTGAGTGTTCTCAGATTGACCAGGAGGGAAAGTCGGAAGGTCCCAGAAGATGACGAAGCCGGAAGTAAAGGAGGATTAGTGATCAAAGTCGAGCGACGATTTAGTGTACAAGTAGACATAGTAGAAGCCTGGGGACACGACTGGACAGATCCATGGCAAGAGCTACGAACAAGAGAAGAGAGCCGGAGCACCGCGAGATTAAGCATTGAAGCCGGAACCAGCGCCAGCAACCAGACTGCAGGTAACTTGAGCAGAAGTTATTCATCATAGAATGTGCGAATGATTTGGGGTTTCATTTTCCGGTGTTTGTATATATATCGCTCGGCGTTCTTTGGTAAAGTTATGGGTCATCTGCATGTAAAGCCAAGTTTTTTTTATAAGTGTTTCTTTGATATAATCGGCGTATTGTACTTATTCACTTTTCGAAGACGACACGTCACGTACAAAATTATATATAGTGACAGACTTTCGCGTTGAATCTTCTTCACGGTTTCCAGAACTTTGATGCACGACACCGGTGAGATCCCCCATGAAACTACTCTGCACTCCCGTTTGACTTTCATATGATCGACGACGAAAGCCCTCCGGAGAACCCCACGAAATTGCACATGAAGCCGCTAGTTTGTTCCACTGGAACTCCTATCGTGCAGTCTAAATAAGCATTGCAAATCTACCGAAATCTGCCGGAGGCGTCGAAACGTTATTACGTCAACCATAATTCTAATGTACTATTATTCATAGGGGTTCATCCGCATTAAGTGTTATCGCCGCGTCCTAACGGTTTCCAGTAGCTCGGAAGATAGTCTCGCTAGACGCCTCATTCAGAACTGGAACCTCACTTAAGCGCCTTTTATTGATTGAAAGAATAGTGCTGGAAACGTAACTCATACACGAATCGTTATATCCATACCGTTTACCACTTGCAATAGTTCAACATTAGTCTGGCTCAATGGTTCTCTCCCGTTCCTTGCTTTTCCCTTTTCATTTCATACTGCCTCCGTGCTTGCTTCACCCCGACTCTGCCCTACTCCCGGGACACCCCGCACTGTGCTTACTCCAGCCCTCATCTGTCCGACACTCGGGATACCCCGTACTTTGCTTACCTCCCTCCCTCTACCCGGCACCCCCCGATCCAGACTACTCATATCATACGGCGGCACATTAACCCTCCAAGCCCTTGTAGCCTGATATCTATTAACCCAGGGCTTCTGCTTTTCCAAGCGTTTATTACACCAAATCTTCTCTCCCCTCGCTGGCCCAATCCTTTTATCTCCCTGAACTTTAAGATTCCTCGTGGCACATTTTAGACCTTGCCCTAAGGCGATGACAGAACCCGTATGTGTTGCAATACCGATAAATGGCATGGACAATAAGAGAATCATGAATGGCATTACACCGTGGATCTCGGAATCAACGTCGATTACTCGTGGGGGACGACGGCCGGTGGTGAGCTCGTTGGTAAGCTCAGTGGCGACAGGATGCGGGTAGCGATCTTCTTCCGTAAGACTCCTTAGAGAATTATCTTCCCCCGCGGGAGAAGCTTGCTGCCAGAGTGCCTCTTCGGAATCTTCATCTGATGAAGGTGCCGGTGTTGGTGCTTCCGGTGTTACGACGTTCCAATCTGGGGCATC